GGTTTGAAAAGGACCCAAATGCAGAAACTAAAGCTGAGGTGGTTTCTTGCAATATTTAATTAACCAAAAAGAACAACAGAAGCAAAAATCCAAAATCATAACTAAGCAAAATCCCCAAAATACTGAAAACCAGGAAAACTCACAACAAGGGCAAAGAAATGACGACAAACCAGCAACAGTGACTGAGCAGGAGCTGCATATATGGGAGAGAGAAACAAACACCTGCAGATTGGGAGCAGGTGTGAACAGGGGTGTCTAGAAGGGAGCTAGGGGGAAGGAGACTGACACAAGAGGGCAAACAAGAAATACCTAAGAACTCAAATACAATCAAAAATAACTAGAATGACACAAAATGGAAATAAAACCAATGAAAACTCAAAGATAAAACTTAAACAGAACCAAAACTGACCTAAAGTGGACTTTATAGTGAACTCAGTTACCTGACCATTTGGACTGATGATCACTGCTTTTTGCCCCATCTTTGTTTTTAAATCCCATAATGCTTTGCGCTGAGAGTTATCCATGCAAAGCATTCTGGGATATATCTGCCTCCTTTCTTTTCTTCTCATGCACTTAGTAGACAGTTTTTCTCTTAAGACCCTCGGCCATTTTCAAATAACCGCTGTGAGAAAGGTGAGCTTCAATGACTGTCTGAGACCATAGCTCACCACAGATATACGCCTGAAAGTGAGCATAAACAGAAAAAGACAGCTAATGGGAGGAGCATGTAGGGCGGCCTTACGTAAACATATCACCAGAATGATTGACACTTAGGAGGACCACTTATTTAGATGATCCACCCGGAAATAAAAGATCGTCCTCTATACCTTTAACTATTATAGATAGGATTAATAGGATCCATTGTGGTGAAGAAATTTACCTGTCGGGCTGTCATCCTACCCTCACCTGAAATGAGGGTTCTAACTGAAAGTACAACCTCCTGGATATAAGAGATGAGCTTTCCCTGCAGGGTGACTGGACATCCTTTAGAAAAGGGCGAGGAGCTTGGCTATCCACAGCCAAACAGAAACAGAATGGGTTGTCTCTGTAGAGCGTCTTGAGGTAACATGTATTGAGAATGGTAGAAATTATAGAAATTGAAGGGCTCCTAATAGCTGCTAAGGTTAGTGTTGTTTTAGTGATACAGGTGCAGATACAGGTACCTCTTTTTGTCTGATGATCCTGACTGGAGAGCTGGGGAACAAGGCACACCAGCTTATGTGCTTTTGAAGATCCAAACCTTGATAAGAAATGATTGAGCTTGTCTAATGTCTTCAAAATGTACTCTTGTCTGTGTAAATAAGATTTTATGTCAATTAAAACTACATGGGATGTTAATGGTTAAGGGAAGCAGACCAAAGTAGTTTTTAATTTAAAAAAAAAAAGTGGTTTCTATGTAGCTAATCAGTCATTATTAATTGTTATTGTTAACCTTTTCCCTTGAAGAGCAATAGGCTGCCAATGTTCTCTTCCTGGGAAACGTTCTGGGGATAAGAGTCTTGCTCAGGTGACCATATACAGGTGCTGGTCATAAAATTAGAATATCATGAAAAAGTAGATTGATTTCAGTAATTCCATTTAAAAAGTGAAACTTGTATATTATATTCATACATTACATACAAACTCATATATTTCAGATGTTTATTTTGTTTAATTTTGATTATTACAAATGACAACAAATGAAAATCTCAAATTCATCATATCAGAAAATTAGAATATTGTGAAAAGGTTCAAAATTGATGGCCCCTGGTGCCACACTCTAATCAGCTAATTAACTCAAACCACCTGCAAAAGCCTTTAAATGGTCTTTCAGTCTAGTTCTATAGGCTACACAATCATGGGGAAGACTGCTGACTTGACAGTTGTCCAAAAGACGACCATCGACACCTTGCACAAGGAGGGCAAGACACAAAAGGTCATCGCTAAAGAGGCTGGCTGTTCACAGAGCTCAGTGTCCAAGCACATTAATAGAGAGGCGAAGGGAAGGAAAAGATGTGGTCGAAAAAAGTGTACAAGCAAGAGAGATAACCGCACCCTGGAGAGGATTGTGAAACAAAACCCATTCAAAAATGTGGGGGAGATTCACAAAGAGTGGACTGCAGCTGGAGTGAGTGCTTCAAGAACCACCACACACAGACGTATGAAAGACATGGGTTTCTGCTGTCGCATTCCTTGTGTCAAGCCACTCTTGAACCACAGACAGCGTCAGAAGCGTCTTGCCTGGGCTAAAGAGAAACAGGACTGGACTGCTGGTGAGTGGTCCAAAGTCATGTTCTCTGATGAAAGTAAATTTTGCATTTCCTTTGGAAATCAAGGTCCCAGAGTCTGGAGGAAAAGAAGAGAGGCACTTCATCCACGTTGCTTGAAGTCCAGTGTAAAGTTTCCACAGTCAGTGATGGTTTGGGGTGCCATGTCATCTGCTGGTGTTGGTCCATTGTGTTTTCTGAGGTCCAGGGTCAACGCAGCCACATACCAGGAAGTTTTAGAGCACTTCATGCTTCCTGCAGCTGACCAACTTTTTGGAGATGCAGATTTCATTTTCCAACAGGACTTGGCACCTGCACACAGTGCCAAAGCTACCAGTACCTGGTTGAAGGACCATGGTATCCCTGTTCTTAATTGGCCAGCAAACTCTCCTGACCTTAACCCCATAGAAAATCTATGGGGTATTGTGAAGAAGAAGATGCAATACACCAGACCCAACAATTCAGAAGAGCTAAAAGCCACTATTAGAGCAACCTGGGCTATCATAACACCTGAGCAGTGCCACAGACTGATCGACTCCATGCCACGCCGCATTGCTGCAGTAATACAGGCCAAAGGAGGCCCAACTAAATACTGAGTGCTGTACATGCTCATACTTTTCATGTTCATACTTTTCAGTTGGCCAACATTTCTATAAATCCTTTGTTTTTATTGGTCTTCAGTAATATTCTAATTTTCTGATATGATGAATTTGAGATTTTCATTTGTTGTCATTTGTAATCATCAAAATTAAACAAAATAAACATCTGAAATATATGAGTTTGTATGTAATGTATGAATATAATATACAAGTTTCACTTTTTAAATGGAATTACTGAAATCAATCTACTTTTTCATGATATTCTAATTTTATGACCAGCACCTGTAAGTGACAGGTTGTTGGATTTTTCAGGACAAATGTGCCATGCTTTAGCCCCTAAACCATCACAACCTTTTCTAAAACTGCATTTTCATCAAGTATGACACTGGGGCGACAGTGGCGTTGGATGTAGGAGTTTGCCCTGAAATCCAAGGATTGACGGTTCAAGCCCCTCCGACTTTCAGTGTCGTTGTGTCCTTGGGCAAGACACTTTACTGCATTTTCTACTGATGGTGGCAGCTGTGGCTACAATGTAGCTTGCCACCGTGAGTGTGTTAGTGAATGGGTGAATGGATGTAGTGTAAAGCGCTTTGGTCAAGTCTCCTGACTAGAATAAAGGCGCTATATAAGTACATGCCATTTACTGTGAATTTATTTTTTTGTTTTGTTATTAGAATTATTTTAACAAAACAAAAGACTGTATTGTTCTTTGTCTCGCTCTAATGGGCCATAAACTCATTTTAACTTCATACAATCTCTGGGAAAATGTTTCAAACAACACAGTTATTGAGTCCACCAAGGCCTTCTTTATATCAAAAGATTGATTACAGATGATGCAAAGATTAATTAACTAATCATTAATTTTACATGAAATGCCATCTCTGTTGGCTGGTCTAACGAGTCTTGGCTTCAATAGTAGGATAAGAATTTTGCATCGCCTTGAAAGCATGCGTTCCTCATGCATTAAATGGATGTTTCAGTGGGGGGATGGGGGTCATTTAGGGGAAAGCTTTGGGAGATCTGTGTGTTGTCATTCAACTTTATGCCTATCCCTGTGTATTCATCTTCTGATGGCTACTTACAGCAGGATACTGACAGAAATACACGGTACTCTATTGGCCTCCACAGTCAGATCTTAATCTGATGGACCACGTATGGGATTAAATCAAAGAGATATAACCTTGACAGGAAAATGGAGGCATGCATAGTCACAAAAAAATAAAAATAAATATATCAAAAAGGAAGAGAGTAAAGTAAGAGCCACATTAAAACAGAATACTCAGATTACAGGACACCAAGGATGGGATTAAAAATGTAAAACCACAGGCCTCAGTTCAATTTGAGGAATCATACAGAAGAAATTGTTTCAAAAAGTGCTTGTAGGAAAATTATCAGCCGATATTTCAAGACGCTAGACATAGCAGCTAAGATAGATCCTAAAGAACCAAGTTTGTGTTGGAGAACCTGTGGCTCTGCCATCCCCAATCATACACACCTGTTCTGGTCATGCCCCAAATTGCAACATTTTTGGGATAAGGTATACAATGCTATAAACCAGATCTTTCAGTAGGTTATCCCTATAGATGTAACGGTTGCAATACTCTGTATTAGTCCTTTTGGGGTGTAAGGACAAGCCAACTCATATCTCTTACATGTTTATTTTACAGCGGCCCCATCACAATTAAGTCGAAGCAACTAGAGCCGCCTTCCTACAACTCACGAGTCCAAACTGTAAGGGAATTATAGCAAATGGACAAGATAACATAGTTGTTAAGTCTTCAAAAAGACACTTTCAGCCAATGCTGGAGTCCTGTGGAAGATTTACCAGAGTAAACAAGTATTACAACCCAAGTTTTTGGATTATGTTACATAGACCTGCCATTTGAGGTTTTGATCTTAGTTCCAACAAGCAGTGAGATTATAATTTTCCGGATCCAGTTGCGTTTTCTGTATAATGCTGTGGGATAGTTGTAATTATTTCTGCTACAGATGGCTTTACAGTGAATCCCAGACACACTGAAGCATCGCTTCCTCTTCTAAAGATGTAAAGTTGTTCAGAAAAGCAGGAGGACATTTTTTGAGTTGTTGGACTAGATTATTGGCCTGCCGTTCTTTAACAATCATAACAGAATGTTTTTCTTCTTGCTCATTTCAGATTAACAGAAGATACGTCTCCAACAGAAAGACCCAGTCACAAGATTGGCGGGTAAATATTGTCAGTTTCAAAGAGCTGGATCACAGAGGTTCATTGAAATAATCTAATAGGAGAAATTTAAGGAGTATGAGTGGACTTTGAGGCACAATGTCAGCTTTTTAATCACGCCATTGTGTTTTTGGTATCTACGGAGACAGATGGCCCAGTTCATGTTTCTCACTAAACCCTGAATAATCCTTCCTCAGCCTTCAGAATTAGGAAATTCACCAGATTATTGGTCTGTGATGACCTATGGTAATATAACGGAAAATATGGTAACACTCCCTTCACCTCTAGAGTAATAATAGTAATTAGCATTGTTTAGTAATCACTTATGATTAATTAAATTCTATAATGCCATTTCACATCATGTCATCTAAAGGAACTTTCAAATTCACCAGATCATCCAGTCACATTTATTCAAAGTTTTCTATCCAAGGAACCCAGCTGATTGCATCGACTCATTGACTCTTCAGCAATCCCTCACACTAAGCATGCTTGTAGCGACAGTGGAGAGGAAAAACTCCCTTTGAACAGGAAGGAACCTCCAACAGAACCAGGCTCAGTGTGAGCGGCCATCTGCTGAGGCCGACTGGGGTTCAAGGAGACAGAAGCAGACATAGAAAAAGAAGCATAGATACAAAAAGTAACTGTAAACCTGCTCCACAGACAGCCCCGTCCAACCAGACAAGCCCTGAGCCAGCTCCCATGTCAGAGGATGAAAAGAGCACACCCAGTTTGTCACAATCAGAGAAACAGGACTACACTGGAAAACAGGCTGAGATCAAGCATCTTTAAACGAAGGTGTTGATGGCAGCAGCACAGCTGATATGGAAGCAGTCTAAGCCTATAGCAGCATAACTATAGAGATAGCGCAGGATAACCTGAGCCACTCTAACTAGAAGCTTTTTGTAAAAGGAAGTTTAAAGAAAGGAAAGTTTAACGTCCACTTGTTGTTTTCTCCCAGGCCAATATTTAAGAGAAGTCCAGATATAACCAAAGCAAGGGGGACAAAGTCCGAGCAGCTGCTGAGGATAAATGATCACGATTTTACAATGCGACCAGGCTTTGGAGGTAAGAAATCTGGTTTTAAAACATAATTTTTGGTCACTGAAAAACCCTTTACATTTTGATGCATTGTTTCTATTTAAATATGCAGCCATTCTGTAAAGCTCAATGGTCAACACCAACCCACAGTCTCCAGGCGTGGTTCCGGCTTTACTGTGGTGGTGAGAGTGCCCAGTCCCAGCTTGCTAAGATTACATAACAGAGTGGGATTATGTTGGTAACATGCTGCTGCAGGCCAGTGATTAATTACTGAGCAGCCACAATCTGTAGCTTTCGTTTTCAAAAACCTCAGTTTCATCTGCTCAATGTGCAGGACTTAAAGGATGAAGCATTGTACTTTTACAATAGATTCAGAATCTCAGCTGGAGCTTTTGATATCTCTCCAATAAAGGCAAACAGTTCTGCAGATGCTAAAACTATCAGGTAACTGCAGTAAATATGTGTTTATGATTAATTCAATTCAATTCAGTTTATTTCTATACTACCAATTTACAACACACGTCATCTCAAGGCACTTTACAGTTCACCAGATGATTCAATCAGATTGATTCAAAGTTTTCTATCTAAGGAAAACCAGTTGATTGCATCGACTCATTGACTCTTCAGCAATCCCTCACTCTAAGCATGCTTGTAACGACAGTGGAGAGGAAAAACTCCCTTTTAACAGGAAGAAACCTCCAGCAGAACCAGGCTCAGTGTGAGCGGCCATCTGCTGAGGCCGACTGGGGTTCAAGGAGACAGAAGCAGACATAGAAAAAGAAGCAAAGATACAAAAGGCAACTGTAAAAGGCGTCCCCGTCCTGGAAACACACTTTTAGGCAGACGAGCTCCAAGCCAGCTCCCATCTCAGAGGATGAAGAGAGCTCATCCAGTTAGTCACAGTCAGAGAAACAGGACTACACTGAAAAACAGGCCGATCTCCAACATCTATAAACAAAGGTGTTGATGGAAGCAGCACAGCTGATATTTCTCTTCAGGATGGAGTCACAGCCAAACAGGAACAGACCAGATGAAGCTACTATGAGAAAAAGCAGAGAGAGCAGAACGTTAGAGATTGAACTAACAGATTCTGCAGAGTGGGAGAATAGAGATAGAATGATGAAATAGGGGTCTCTATGTCCTCCAGCAGTCTAAGCCTATAGCAGCATAACTATAGAGATAGCTCAGGATAACCTGAGCCACTCTAACTATAAGCTTTATCAAAAAGGAAAGTTTTAAGCCTAGCCTTAAAAGTATAAAAACTCTGTATTCAGAGCATCAAAGCTGTCCACCCTGGAGACTCTGACACTACATCTCCTTCCAGCATTCAGAATATAAAAACTCTTTGGTCTGCACTGCAGATCTTCAACAATGGATATATTTTTTTTTATTGGCTCCTCATTTGACTTTGTTTAACGCACCATCACTACCTTACGCCATGTTTGACATTTAGAGAACACTGACAATTACAGTTATTTGTTTTGGGAGTAACTTTTGATCTATTTAAAAACAAAAACATGGATTTATAGATAGAAATGTTCATGAGCAAATCCTGTCTTCAAAAGGACATAAGACTGAATTAAAGGAGCAATGACTCCAATGCCAACTCACACATTTGTCTTTGTTATGATGTGAAGTCAGTCCCTACAGGACCTGACTGTATGCTCAGTCACATGGTGGGAAATGATGCTGCAGAGGCCATCTGTGTTTTTACAGAAAGATCTTCTGTGTTTCTTCTCAAGCTTAAAGAAAACAACTTCCCCAGTCCCTGCAAACCTTTAGTTCGATAAAGAGGTTCTTTAAGTTACCACACATGCTAATTACTGCGTCCTTTGACCCCTGCATGGAAGCCTGTCATGATTTAGACCTGGGAAGCTTTCTGTTTGTTACGTCCATGTGATGGCTGTTTATCACTGTTGTATATAAGTTGTTTACTGGTCCCTTAAATAAATATTTATTTTTCAAAGTTTTCTTTGTGTTTGTAAGTTGACATCCTTTTTTCATAGTATCCACCCGAAAGGTTCCTTCATATGTCCTCAGTTCTTCCCCACCATCACATACAGAGGTGTCAAAAGTATTAATAAATAGTGTATTATAAAACATGTAAAAGTACCATTTTAAAATCTACTTAAAGCATAAAAGTAATTCAGGAAAAAATGTTAAGGACAGACGCTTTACTGCTCTACCCATTTAAAGGAACATTTTCTACAATGCTGGATGAAAACTTTCTTATACTTCATTTTTTTAGTTTTATAACTAATGGTAACCGTGTCACATTTAACTTTGCATCATCTTGAAAAACTATTTATTTTGGTTTATGGTGAGCAACAAGTTGGGGCAGCACAGAGTCCAACCACAAAGAAATGAATTGTCTGGATGAAACTAATTATTTCTATGTTAAATTTTTGGTCTTTTTTTCACACCAACAGGTCATAAGGAAAATTAGATTAAATGAAACAAATGTAAGAAGTAGAAAATAAAGATAATTTATATATATACAATTATATATATATATATATATATACTTCTGCATTATATATATATATATATATATATATATATATATATATATATATATATATATATATATATATATATATATATATATATATATAAGCAGTAGATGTAAAAAGTTGCATAAAAAATAATTACTCTAGTAAAGTATGGATGGACAACATTTCTACTTAAGTAAAGTAACAGAGTATTTTACCTTGTTACGTGACGAGTTTTTACTTCAGTTTTTTTTTTTTTTTTTTATCAAGGAACATAAACTTCCCCATTTTACAAAAAACCCTCCTAGATTAAACTTTAAGGGAAAGACTTTGAACAGATGGAGGCAAATATTGACTTTTATAAACATCTATGTTCATCTATACTCATAACTCATCAAAAATACAGAATTATTAAGGGAAACAAAAATGATAAGCAAAGGTTACTTAGTTTGTGGAACAAGCCGAATGGGTCTTTGAGAAAGGGTGAAGTGACCTGCAGTGGATATCTGCACTTCAATCTGCAAACTAACAGACATGCGTGAGTTCATCCTATTGAGGACAATGTAGAGACAGATGTGGTCCCACTTCCCTCCTTTAAGGCCCTGCCACCTGTTATCCTGCTTTAACATGTGTGACATCCTGACACAGAGAGGATGACACCATTATGAGGAGGCAGAGACGATCAGGACATGCAACATGTTTGGATAATTCTCCAGGGGCGACTCTCCTCTGTCAACACAGAGACATGTGCAGGTTTTAGCTATCTTAAGAATATATCGGATTCAGGCTTGTTGGCCTCATTGGGGACTGTTGGTCTAGTGGTTAGAGCAGTGCGCTTGTGCTCTGTGAAGGTTGCAAGCACCTGGTTAGATCTCCACAGCCTGCACTCTGGGTCCCTGAGCAAGACCCTTAACCCCACACTGCTCCACAGGCGCCACACAATTGCAGCCCAATGCTCCCCAGGAGGATGCGTTAAATGCAGAAGTAAATTTCCCCATTGTTGGACAATAAAAAGGATTTACATTTTTTTATAGAAAAACAACAAAAAAGAAAAAAAAAGCAGTTTGTTTCCTGTTTGTTAGGATTAGAGCACTTATGCCTCTGTTTATGTGCTTAGGATCCAGGGAGATCCACACATGGCAGCTTTCAAAGGGATTTAGCTACAGAGAGCAGAAGTCATTGTCTGAATCAGATCTGTTGGAATTAAACAAAGACAGATAATCCAAGCTGCTCCAAATGAGGCTCCTGGGTTACATCTGCATGCCTTTCATAACACAGATGTAAATGAGAAGTTAGTGGCTCTATGTAAACAGCTGCATCCTGTTTTTCTAGGGCCTGCTGTCCCAGTTGGAGTGGATGTTCAGGTGGAAAGCCTGGATGCTATTTCAGAGGTTGATATGGTATGTAAATGTTCAACAGCCTTTAAAAATGACATTTTAAACATTATTTCAAAACAACTTTTAATTTCTTGCTAAAGGATTTCACTATGACCTTGTACCTGAGGCACTACTGGAAAGATGATCGTCTGTCCTTTAAAAGCAACACCAACCAGAGCATGACCTTCGATGGTCGCCTGGTGAAGAAGATATGGGTCCCTGACATGTTCTTTGTCCACTCCAAGAGGTCTTTTACACATGACACCACCACCGACAACGTCATGCTGCGCGTTTACCCCGACGGCAAAGTTCTTTACAGTCTCAGGTATCTCACTGTTGTTTGCTCTGAAGGCTAATTTATTGTTGGAAAATGCTTTGCTAAAGTTCTCAGAGTCATTTGGAGGAAGAGGATGGTTTCTGTGGCAGAATGAATGTAATCAATAATCATACAGAATATTTAAGTATGTTTTGCATATACAAGTACAATACATCTGTCCAAGTCTCAGTCTAACTGTATTGCCAAGATGATGGCAAATATCTATATACCGATAATATACTAATCAACTGGCCAATAACTGATACTGACGTTTTTTTCTCAGACCTACTTACAGACAATATATTGTTTTCTCCTTCCTGGCCGTTCATGATTGTCTGTCACTGAAACTTTAAGAAACTTCAATACCACAAACATTTATACTTCAGGCTCTGTTCTTTAACATGGGGGTCTTCAACAGGGGGTCCGCGACCTCTAGAGGGTCCATAGAAAGACTGCATGGGGGTCGTGAAAGTTTTGGTTGATTAGACTTTTTTCATATTCCCCCATGCAATTTTTCTTCCACTAATTGAAATGTGTTTAAATCCAATTTCATTCATCAATGCACACATTCAGAGACACACAGGAGTTCTTTCAAGATGGGTACCGTTTCATTCACAACACCTGTCCCATCAACCAGGAATCAGAAATAGAAATACTTTAATCATCCCAGGGAGAAATTGTCATGATGGGTTCACAAGTGAGACCCAGTTATGCAGTACACCACGGAGACGGAAACAGAAGTAAAAGGTTTAACAATGTTTATTGTTACAAGCACAGAGTTAACCACTGGTTCTGGTTCAGGCCTGGGGGACTGGTTCACTGGAGTCTGCGTGGGAGACAGTTCAGTTAGCGTTTGCTTAGAGGAGTTTGATTCAGACAGTTTCAGATTTGTACCTTGAGGGTTCTTGGTTAAAGCCTTGAGAGGGAAACTGTTGGGTCCGGAGATAGTTTGTTCAGCAGAGTCCGTTAGCTGCTTCAGCGTCTTACTTCTTGAGAATGAGCTGACCTTGGCTTTTGAGTTTCCAGCTCTTAGTCCAGAGCTGCATGGGAATCCAGAGAGAGACTTCAGGTTTGGCTCAGAGGGCAGGCTCGGCAGGTTAAGCTCTTCCTGAGCTTCACAGGAGAAAAACGGGTTTCCTGGAAAACAGAGACAAAGGTTAGAATCCAGTCTGGATTCAAAAGTCAACAAAGGTTCTCAGAGATACTAGGCTTAGGTGCTAACCAACTGGATCAACACTGCGGCGTTGAGGCAAGGTCTGAAGACAGCTTAAATACTGTGGATCCTCTGATGATGGAATGAGCTCCAGCTGTGCAGGAGGCTCGACTCAGGAGGATCCACGGCGGACTCTGCTGGAGGAAGGTGGTACTTCTCCAGCTCCCAACAGAAATGACTTTAATTATATTACTCCATCTGTAATAGAGTGACTATAGGACCAGTTTGATAGAACACAATTCATAGAATATATATAATAAAGGGGTCCCTGCTCCATCTCACCATCAGTTTGGGGTCCTTGACCTGGAAAACGTTAAAGACCCCTGCTTTAACAGACTCAAGCATCAGTTGTGTGCATGTAAACCTGTTGGTGATGGCATGATCTTCACTAGCTACGTTTACATGCGCAAAATTTCCCCGATCCGATCCAAACCTTGGTTGATTGGAAATTCAAAATCTCCGTTTACATGGACACTAAATGAAATGATCCGATCATGACGTGTGTATACATGTACCAAGCGTTGGATCAGATTAAATCTTTTAAGCATGCGCAGAACTTCCTGCCAAACTTGGCAGTTCTGTCTGCGTCTGGTTTTTGGGAGGCCTGACAAACGATGCGCTCGGAGCGAGCGGAAAGAAAAACGGAGAGAGGAGGAAAAAAGCGCTTGGCAGCGAAATGTCCGAGAGAAAATGTAGAGAATGAGCGATTGAACCGGCGTGGGAGAGCGAGTGGGCTGTGGAGAGAGAAAAGAGGAAGAGGAGGAGGATAAATTCCTGCTTCCTGCAGCTTTAAATGAACTTGAGTGTATAAGTCGGCGTTCCTAGACTCCTCCCGCCATGTTGTTCACAACAAGAGCGAGAGCGACCAGTGGTTTCCTGTTGTTGACAAGGCGGAAAAACGTCACGCTGACGTCGCACACATGCGCAGTGAAGATTATTTTACTCTTAAGATCCGAATGGGTGTTTACATGGACGCCAATCGGAATGGCGATCGGCAAAAACCACCTCTCTCTTTCGGAATTAAATTTAGATCCGATCGGACCGAATCGGATTAGAATCTTCTGTCTGACATGTTTACATGAAACATTTTTGATCTGATCAGGCCTTCAATCCGATTAGTTGTGTCCATGTAAACGTAGCTATAGTTTAGTCACAAAATCAATACCTTAAACATCAGTGAATTATATTGAGAGATTAACCGATGTCAACATTTAGTTTTAAAGCAAATAGTGATGGCATGCCAGTAATATTAGCATCCCCAGTATTAATGAAACAGTATTATTGTATGTATGAGTATGAAGTTTATTCATAGTTGGCTAAAGGCATTGTATTTTAGGTGGTGGCCATAAACAGACCTGGAGATGATATATATGGGGTCAGTTAAGGACAGTCGACGTCTAAATAAGACATTTCAGATTTGGAGAGTGAAGATGGTTTCATGCAAACAAGAAAACATTTGAACAGTTGTTTACAGAAAATTTGAAATTGATTTTTTATTTTATTTGTTTTACAGATGTTTAATCTTTATTTGGTTTTATCCTGCTTTTATTTTTCTTCTATTTTATGATCTAAATCAAGTAAAACAATTTCCCATGTACAGAATTGTGTAATATAAATAACCTTCCTTGCCTTTTCTTAAATATTTAAATATTAGCACAGTTTTCTGCTCAGCCTTGATGATAAAACAATAACTTCCTGCAACAGAGAAAGCTTTAGGCTGCATCAGAACTTTGCTTCTGGACGATTGTATACAGAACAATAAAAGATTTACGTACATAGTCAGCACATGGCCAAGGTTAATCTGTATCAGGTCAGAGCCAGAGCTGGTTGGAGATTTTCCAGACTACAACAGATTGGAACATGAGGATGACGTTTACTGACTGCGCCTTCTCACCATACCTCACTCCCTTCTTCCATTATTTGGATTATATCACTGCTTGGCATCCTTTTATTGGATTTGTTTTCTGCCCATTAATATGGACTGGGTAATGTTTGGCTAAGGCTAGTCATATATTATCTGCAGGTCCCCTAACTGTAGGGATTTGACTTGCAAATGGTTGCTAATAGCATTTCTAGAAATAAATCACATCAAAAGCCATTTGTGAAAGCAGCCTTTTATTTATTTACATTGCATAGCTGAAATGACCAGTCAACAACCGTTTCTGATTTAAAAACAATATTTATAGAAATTCAACCAAGATTTAGAAAAACAGTGAATCTATGATTTTAATTTGTATTCTTGATTGTAAATCAAGCTTATTCAACCTGCTGTTTTATATCAATAAAAACCTTTATAATGTTATAGATTTGATTTAAAGACAAGATAAACTAACAGATGATATTACAGCTTAAAACTGTCATAAAATAGATGTATTCACCTGATTTAAGAGGTTCAACAGCCTGCATATGTGCAAAATGTTTAGTCTATATATTTTTAATCAGGTCAATCAATTTCTTTATTATCAACTACGATTTGCAAATTGCACTGGGCTGGCGGGGGGGTTGGGGTTATAGCCGAAGGGCAGTTTTGGTCCCTTCTGCCATAACATCCAGGGGAGGTTTGATAAGGTGTCCAAAATAACACTTTGTGTTGTTGTTTTGAGAGCAGGCTGCGCAGGAATTTTCCATCAGCCTTGAGTCTTTTCTTGCTGGCTACACATGCTGAATCCAGTATTCCAAATCTGTTGGGCTTTTCTTTCTTGAAGCGAGCGTGAACATCCAAGATATTATCCCATGTCACCTTTGAGTTGCCTGCAGCCTGATCAATGCCCAAATTGCCGCAGACATCCTCTGCAATTGTAGATACATCTGGTATCCTCCAATTCCAAACAGGAGAAATCTGAGTATCATAAATCTGAAAATCCATACATCTTCGACATCCTCCACTGAAAACATTTTAAAACACACCATCCTCCAAGCCTTCCAGGAGTTCATGGTGTATTCCACCAAGTATGTCCCAGCAAGACAGGAAGGATCCCCTTTTCCCTGTCTAACACTTGAAAAAATTTGATAAATTGCATTGAGAGACCAGTTGACCAGATCCATTGTTTGGATTCGGGTGATATGTAGAGAGAGCTCAGAAAAGACAAGACACAGCAAAGCAAGGACAGAGCAGGGAGGGGCAGAGTAGCAGGAAAATGCGACTGCCTCCTTCAAGAGTCAGAACAGTGGTCAAATGATTCTATAGACAGTGAGAATATTAGGAGGATTATATCGGAGAATTATCCTGCCATAATGCAAGAGCACATAATTTCAATTTGAGAAAAGAATTTCATCTTCTTGCACTCAAAACTTATAATGCTCACACTCAAAACATGCGTTCTCTCTCAAATATTTTATCTTCTCTCTCAAATCTTTCTTTCTTCTCTCAGATTTAATGCTTCTTGCACAGATATTTTCTCCTGTCGCTTGCCTCCTTCTCTTCGCGAACAAACCGCGCTCTGCTCGAGTCTCAGTTACACTCACAAACCCGTAGGCTCTGCTTGCGGATCTTTTTTGCTCTCTCTCAGATTGGATCGGATCATCACCTAGCAACCTTTCCAGCCAATAGAACGACAGCTTCAGAAAGGGTGCGCATAATTTCTCAAATTGAAAGGATGTGCTCTTGCATTATGGCAGGATAATTATCACATAGGTTTAGACACGCTACAAACACAACAGGCTAGAAAAGCACTGTCGTCCAATCCATCTAAATTGGTTTGGGATTTTTGGGAGTATTTTATTTTAGCTGTAGTACTGAATCAACTATGCTTCTTAAGATTTGTATCTACTATCAATGAATGAAAGTTTGCTTTGTGATTGCAGAGTAACAGTCACAGCCATGTGCAACATGGACCTTAGTCGCTTTCCTCTCGACACACAAACCTGTTCATTGGAGATTGAGAGCTGTAAGTCACTTTGATCATTTCCATTGTTTTGTTCATACTTCTGGCTTTACTTGAATTCTTACAAAATGTTATTGTTTTTATTTATTCTTTAGATGCATACACAGATGATGACCTGTTACTGTACTGGAAGGAGGGGAACAAGTCTTTAAACACGGATGAGAAAATCTCTCTCTCTCAGTTCCTCATCCAGGAGTTTCATACGACTACAAAGCTGGCCTTTTACAGCAGCACAGGTGCTGTCAGAAAATGGGGAGCTGTGTCTACACTCATGGTTCAGGACTCTGAAGCCTAATTCTCTCCTTGTTCTCTCTGCAGGCTGGTACAATCGTTTGTACATTAACTTCACGCTCCGGCGGCACATCTTTTTCTTCCTGCTGCAGACATACTTTCCTGCCACTTTAATGGTCATGCTGTCCTGGGTGTCCTTCTGGATCGACCGCAGGGCTGTTCCCGCCAGAGTGCCCCTCGGTCAGAGAATACTGGTTATTGGCATTAGATACACATCTCAAAATATTAGTTATCTGATCAGTTTACATTTTATGCTAACAAATATAATAGAAACATTGCAAACAATTAAATAATTTTAGGAATTCTGTTGTCAGGTGGAGATATTTTATCTGCAAGCTCAATAAACAAAGAAATTATAAATATCCTTAATGAAAGACACAAAATATTCATGGGACCAATTTCTCAGAGAAAACTTAAAGTGGGTTGATTCTAGAGGAGGAGATGGCTTCTACTTTTAGAAGTTCTAGGAACAACTAGTAAACCTGCAGATTGAGGGCGAAATGCTCTGTTAGGAACATAAGGAACAGTCAGATCTCTGATATCAGAAGAGGGAATGGCTGACAGAAGACAGAAGAAAGTAGAAAGAAAATTTCCTATCAGTTAAAACTAATAAATGTAAATCTGAATTGATCCCTACCATTAGTGTAATGTTATTGTTTTCAGTCCTGATCACTCCATATAACTTATTCAATGAGATTTATAACAAGAGAGGAAAAGGTCAAATGTTTATAGTAGTTATTTATTTTTGTGGAATCAGGATTATCCATATTACAAGATTTCAAGCTGTGTATGATCACTTCATATGAGAAGAGTGCAACTGTCAGAGGTTATTAGTAGAAAACACTGTACTTTTTGCGATATTTACGTTTTTGAACGTTTTGAATCCTTTTTTCTCCTGCCTGAGAGCAAAATGTTTACAAAATGCCCATTAGAAACAAGTGTGCTTGTTCTTAGAACAGTCAAGGTAAACTGGCCAATATTACACTCGATCTCTAACAAAGACGGAATGAGTCTCCATCACTCACCTCTGTGCCTCAGATATTGGAAAAACTGAATGTTTGCACACATTTGATGTGTTAGCTACTAGATATTTCACAATGCATGTTTTTTTATTGTATTATAAATAAACCATTTGAACTAAACAAAAGAAAAACGGCCCAAATACACCAATATATTCAATTCTTCCAAAGCTAAAATAAAAGATGTATGTTTTTTGTGAAAGGCAGACAATGGAAATGAAACCATAGTCCTCAGCTGTGGTTAACTCTGACTGTGGCCTTGTGCTTCTTAATGTAAGTCTAACATGTCTCCCTGCTTTAGGTATAACTACTGTGCTAACCATGTCCACCATCATCACCGGAGTAAATGCCTCCATGCCCAGGGTGTCTTACATCAAAGCTGTGGACGTCTATCTGTGGATCAGCTTCGTCTTCGTGTTTCTGTCCGTCATAGAATATGCTGCAGTCAACTACCTGTCCACTCTACAGGAGCGCAAGGAAAGGAAACTGCGTGAGAAGGTTGGTACCATCAGGATATCAATGAGATGCTAACCAGTCTGGTTTTGAAAGTAAGCTTTTAGTCAGCAGTTATTACTGTGAAACTTAGTTGTGAGATGAATCGATCTTTGAGCTTCTGTTCTGGGTGAAACCAATGGCTAGTCCAGTAGTATAGAGGGAAGAGAGGGGAACGGAGACAGCACATTTACTGGGGATACTGGTGCCCCAGCCTCTCCTGCTGCTGCTGGTCATTTAAGGTGATGATGATCCACTGATAGGTGGATAATGACCCTGTGAACAGGTTGAGCTTCTGTAGCATGTCTGAGTTAAAGTCCTCAAATAATGGATCCTGGCAGATATCGGATCCTGCTTCATATAAACAAACTCCAGGGGGTCTAGCAGGGCTGCCTGTGATATCCCAGATGGTTCAGCACCATTCCAATGAAGGATATCATGGCCACAGTTATCAGGGCGAAAGGCCAGTAATCTTTTAACCCATGATGGCCAGGATGACAGCTCCTCAAGGATCACTATTGAGCTCCAAGATGGCTGAGTAATAATAGGGCTATTGAGACAACAGCTGTTTGTGAGCAGTGAAAGAAATAAACAGACCTCCTCTTGTTTCTTTAAGATGTTTCAGCACTATTCCGAAAGCGTGGGGTTATTATCGGTTAGCGGCGGTTTAAGATCATCAGTCAGCCAGGCTTGATGTTCTTTATCGTTGGGGTTTTTAATCACATGCTTCTAGATGTAAAGAAATATTTGCAAGAAATAGAAACAAGCTTCCAAAAAAGTAAAAAAAAAAAACAATCCACCGAACTTGGTTTCCAATTTTGAAGACGTTTCTCTTCCCATCCAGGCCTGCAATGTCCCATACCTGTCTATGTCTCTGAAAGGGGGTCGTTAAAGGGAATAGTTGGCCTGGCTGAATAGCCGAGCTCTTCTGTTCCCTTGTAAAGGGGTTGGGGTTGCGATGACAGCAGGAAGGAATCAACTCTATCGCTGCATTGTGATTAAGGTTGTTTTTTCTTTCTTTCAGAGACATAGACAGGTATGGGGCATTGCAGGCTAACAAAGAAGCCGAAAGACCCCCATTACAAAGGGATGGACCCGTTCGTCCGTTTCACTTTGCATGTTTTCTAAACAAAAACAAGGCTTTGTTGGGCTACTGTATAAAACCTGGAACTCAACCCTATTTCTGACATTTTGAAATGAAAAAGCTTCCTGGATGGGAGGTCAAACTTGGAAACAAAGTGAAGTGGATTTTTAAACTTTTGTGGAACCACTATGACCTGGATTATTGAGAATCTTCACCTATAGAAACAAGCTTCTTCACATTCTCTATGTCTGGGGTCACCAATTAAAAACCAGCGGGGTCCAAATAAAGAAAATCATCAACCAGTAAAGGTCCAGAATCATCCATCCATCCATTATCTGACACGCTTGTCCCAATTGGGGTGGCGAGGGGTGCTGGTGCTTATCTCCAGCTGTCTACGGGCAAGAGGCGGGGTCCACCCAGGACAGGTCAACAGTCCTTTGCAGTCGGGAGACATTTTTAATTATAATCCGTTACTTTAAACAAAATTTAACACTAAAATACAATGAGGTTTTTAAGCATCCATGTTATACATTGACTTTTTGAATAAAAAATCTATTTAATTATAGAAATTTTGTTCATTTTAATATCTAAAGTTTTTTTTAAGTAGAGAACAACAATCGTTCAGTTTGGTATATAGACAATTTCCTAATTTACTTTTTTTTTTTTTTACACTTAAACAGACCATTTGTTTTTTTGTTGTATTTTCTTTCTTTTTTCTGTCTTAATGTTGGCAGTGGGCTTTATGCTTCCCAGCAAGGCTTTAAACCTGGGTTTGAATGGAGACTAAGCCATTCTCAAGCACATATCAAGGAGCTCATTCTGAGCCTGGATCCAGATTTATTGTTGATTCTGTTCATGGTGGAGAATCCTGCTTCACAGCAGCAGGTTGAGCCAAACATCCTCTAAATGTGCAGGGTCATCTTTGAGCACCATTTCACTTTTCTTTCACCAGTTCACCACAGTTCTTCCAGCAGTCCACACTTTCTCTGCTCTTTTTCTCATCGTCTTCTCCTTCTTTCCCATCGCCCGGCTTGCCACAGGTTTGCCTGCTGTGTCTAAAAGTAGCAGCAGCAGCAACCCAGACTGACAGCAGTTCAATGGCTAGTTTGGATCACGTGCAGCCTGGAGCCGGACGCTCTGGAGGGCTTTACCGTATTAACAGGAGAAGTGGCGCAAGTGAAGTTAAACACTGTCTTCGGACAATTTATTTATAAATGTTTTAGATCAGGTTGGGTCTGGATTAGCCAGCAGGTGGGTCCGGATCCGGACCGCAGTCCGCTAATCCGTGACCTCTGGTCTATATAATGTTGGTTTATCATGTTGTACATGGATAGCTTCTTTATCACTTGAACCACCTGTATTCCCATTCTGAAGATGGTACATTTTATGCATTCACAATGGTCTCTTGGCCCCATGAACTGCTTATTCTAGACCCAGTAGGTTGTTGTTGCTCCAACACCTCTCTGATCCAGATTCTGTCTTATGAGTGTTTTAAGAAGACGTGATGTGAATTAGCTCTATAAAATAAACTGGATTAATTATGGATTAATTATGATGCAGATTATCACCAAAATTTGATGGACTGTTCCTTGGACTGAGGCGCACCTTTGCAAAGATGTCATTAAAATCCATTCATAACTTTTCAAGTTGTCCTGTACACAAACCAACAAGCATACAAAAGCATACAACATTCCCAGAAAACATTTTGTTAAATATCTGCAAATGAATCATTTTATTTTATGGAAACATTAGAATGTAATAGCTGAACCACCACTGTCACATCTTAAAGAACTTACACTTCGCCACCTGGAGGGGAGGAAACAGACTTCTTTGTTTTATAAACCTTTGATGTCATATGATAAAGTGTCCACCGCCGACAGACTACAGCCATGGTGGATATTCAGGTGGATATACAAAAGGCAGATTGGGACAAAGTATGGTTTAAAGCCACAAAACAATCTATTAACACTAGAATGAAACTAATATAACATAAATTGTTGATGAGAACATACATTACCCCGGTTACGATAAATCAATGGTCTCCTGATGCGCCAGACACATCCATTAAGTGTTTGGAAGGAAAGGGTATTCTATATCACTTCATATGGGATTGCCCATATATTCAATTCAATTCAATTTCTTCAGTTTATTTCAGTTTATTTATATTCAGTTTATTTATATAGCGCCAAATTCACAACACATGTCATCTCAAGGCACTTTACAGTTCAACCAGATGATACAGTCAAATTGATACAAAGTTTTCTATCTAAGGAAAACCAGTTGATTGCATTGACTCATTGACTCAAATACAATCCCCCACACTAAGCATGCTTGTAGCGACAGTGGAGAGGAAAAACTCCCTTTTAGCAGGAAGAAACCTCCAGCAGAACCAGGCTCAGTGTGAGCGGCCATCTGCCGAGGCCGACTGGGGTTCAAGGAGACAGAAGCAGAGATACAAAAAGCAGCTGTAAAAGGCGGCCCCGTCCAGGAAACACACAGCCAGGCAGACGAGCTCCAAGGCAGCTCCCATGCCAGAGGACGAAGAGAGCACATCCACTCAGTCACGGTCAGAGAAACAGGACCACACTGGAAAACAGGCCGATCTCCAACATCTATTAACAAGGGTGTTGATAGAAGCAGCACAGCTGATGTTTTTTTCCAGGATGACGTCACAGCCAAACAGGAACAGACGAGGCAAAGCTACTCTGAGGAAAAGCAGAGAGAGCAGAAGGTTAGAGATTGAACTAACAGATTCTGCAGAATAGGAGAACAGAGAGAGAATGAAGCAGAATGATGAAATGGGGGTCCCTATGTCCTCCAAAAGTCTAAGCCTATAGCAGCATAACTATAGAGATAGCTCAGGATAACCTGAGCCACCCTAACTATAAGCTTTATCAAAAATGAAAGTTTTAAGCCTAGCCTTAAAAGTAGACAGGGTGTCTGCCTCACGGACTAAAACTGGTAGTTGGTTCCACAGGAGAGGAGCCTGATAACTAAAAGATCTGCCTCCCATTCTACTTTTAGAAATTCTAGGAACCACTAGTAAACCTGCAGATTGAGAGCGAAGTGCTCTGTTAGGAACATAAGGAACAATCAGATCTCTGATATAAGATGGAGCTTGGCCATTTAAGGCTTTATATGTGAGAAGGAGGATTTTAAATTCTATTCTTGATTTAACAGGAAGCCAATGAAGAGAAGCCAGGATAGGAGAGATATGATCTCTCTTTTTCATTTTCATTAGAACTCTGGCTGCAGCATTTTGGATCAGCTGAAGGCTTTTAACTACAGTTTGTGGACTTCCTGATAGTAAAGAATTACAATAGTCCAGCCTTGAAGTAACAAATGCATGGACTAGTTTCTCAGCATCACCCCTGGACAGGATATTTCTAATTTTTGCAATGTTCCTCAGATGAAAGAAGGAAATTCTAGAAACCTCTTTGATATGGGATTTAAATGACAGGTCCTGATCAAAAATAACACCAAGATTTTTTACTTTATTATCTGAAATCAGTTTAATCCCATCCAAATGAAGTGAATATATATAAAAACATATTGGAAGTAAATCATTCTGACTTTATCTGAGATCATTAGAGAGAAGATACCTCACCTGCCAGAAATATGTATACTACGTATATATAAAAAAATCTGTTACTGTTAATGTAACTGTAATGACTCCTGCATGCGAGGAGGATGATAGTTCTGTCCAGGAGGAAAATGGATGTGCCCTCGATACATATGTGGATTAAGGAGAGTGCATCTTCTGTGCTGTGCTGCTTCCATCAACACCTTTGTTTATAGATGTTGGAGATCGGCCTGTTTTTCAGTGTAGTCCTGTTTCTCTGACTGTGACTAACTGGATGTGCTCTCTTCATCCTCTGACATGGGAGCTGGCTAGGAGCTCGTCTACCTGGCTGTGTGTTTCCTGTGGAGCTGATTAACGGTTTCCCTTTTGTATCTATGCTTCTTTTTCTGTGTCTGCTTCTGTCTCCTTAAACCCCAGTCGGCCTCAGCAGATGGCCGCTCACACTGAGCCTGGTTCTGCTGGAGGTTTCTTCCTGTTCAAAGGGAGTTTTTTCTCTCCACTGTCGCTACAAGCATACTTAGTGTGAGGGATTGCTGAAGAGTGAATGAGTCCATGCAATCAACTGGTTTTCCTTAGATAGAAAACTAAATCAATCAAACTGGATGATCTGGCGAACTGTAAAGTGCCTTGTGATGATGTGTTGTGAATTGGCAATATAGAAATAAACTGAATTGAAAATTATGTTGGAAAGGCTGACTTATATAACCAGGGGGAAGGGCTGCAGAGTTTGAGAATGTATGGAATCCTTTGATAGAGTTTCTTTAACATGAAAGTGCTCAAACAACTCAAAACTGCTGAGTGTTGGTTGAGTGTTTGTGGTTCATTAAGTTTTATTTTATTTATTAAGTGTGTGAAGTATGTGAATGTTAATTTTATGGATATTATTGTTTTGATTACTGTCTCTTTCTACAAGTAAAAAAAATAAAAAATAAAAAAAAAATATATATATATATATATATATATATATATATATATATATATATATATAAAACTGAATAAAAATATTATTGAAAAAAACAAGCGCAAAAAAACTTCTGGTGGTTTACGTTTCAGTTGCTGGTAACATTCAAAAAAGTAGGTCCAAGTAAGACCGTAGTTTCTGCCGTAGACCACAGTGTTTGTGGTCTTTTTGGACATTTTATATTGACCAACAGTTGTTTGCAGGCTTTGTAATAACTTTACATGACTCACTCTCATTGCAGCTGCCATGTACTTGCGGCATAGCTCACCCTGGCATGATGTCAGCCAGCTACAGCGAGGTGGACGTCAACACCACAGGAAACTACGGCATGCCGGAGGAGAATGGAGTAAGAAGACAAAGAATGCTGGTTGAACTGGCCATGGAGAAGGACCAGGTGACCGGCCATGTTGGCTCCAGGGCCTACAGCAGCGTCTGGATTGACACACACGCCATAGACAAGTACTCCAGGGTCATCTTTCCTGGGTCATATATCCTCTTCAACATCATCTACTGGTCTATTTACTCTTAAACCTTAAATACATCTGACAGATGTGGGAAACATCTGCTTATTTAATTGATATACTTGTCATTAATTGAAAGTGAACCATTTTTGTATGTTTATATCCAACTTTTTCAACCATATCTGTTTACACAAAAAGACGGACTGAATGAAAAACTGCTCAATCCAGAGGAAAACGGATGTTTGTATGATAAACATTACATTTCACTTTACTATTGGATCCATCCATCCATCCATTTTCTTGCACGCTTAATCCCAAGTGGGGTCGCGAGGGATGCTGGTGCCTACCTCCAGCTGTCTACAGGCGAGAGGCAGGGTACACCCTGGACATGTCGCCATCCATCGCAGACTATTGGATCCAGTTGGGTTTTTTGGGATTATGACGCTAGCTGCTGTGGGGAAAGAAAAACAAATATTCATGAGCTTTATGCTAGAGGGTTTTCATGGTGCTGCTAACGATCTGATATTGGTGTTATATTAAAATGAACAAAAGGTTTAACTGGATTAGACTGGATGTCAGACTTTCACTGAAATTCAAAACCGAATAAGGTTGATTGAACTGCAGTAAATTGCTGCTTCACTTGTGAAAAGTTGTGGTGAAGTCTGGACTGACAGCCTAACAACATTGTGCTGAATCTGTATTTTTAAAGGTTTCTCCAATAAAAGCCTGGGCTGATCTCTGATGTGTTACTAATATTGCTTATATTCCCTCCCAATCACCAACCAGTATCAAATGTAATGACAGCCCACTTTGTAGCTGGATTAAAATAAAAGTCCAGTCAGCAAGGAACAATCAATGGATCATTATTCATACCTAAAACTGAGTCTGGGAGCGGCCATTTTTGCCCAAATATAGTAGCCCCTCCCTCCTGCCATCTTCCAGCAGTGACGTCACGGTGCTGTAAGCCTAGCGCCATTCTCTCCGCTTTACAAGCTAAATCAATGGGAACTACTAGACACATCTGCAATCAACAACAATTATTGAAGATTTCCAGAGGACTTCACCATTGAAATTCACCAGAGCTATAGTGAAACTGACAATGCCCACGTGCATGGCAGCTGGATGCTGGAATACATCGGGTAAAAGTGAAAAAAAAGAGTTATTCCACCTTTCTGATTCCTGATCCTCCACGGACGGGTTGGTCGTTGGATCGCCAACTTGAAGAGGGAGGATTTGCCATCGAACTTCTGACCAGAGAAAAAACCCGTAATATGTAGCCAACATTTGGAAGAAGAATGTTTTCAAGGTGACTTGGATAATAGCGCGTTGTGACAAACACCAGATACAGCACTGGGACTTGATCAACAGCCGATACCGCACCGTGACGTCACAAACCAGTAGGTGGCAGTAGTGTTCTTTGACAAACATGGATGCCTCCAGTAAAGCACAGTCAAATGAAAATTACTCTGAAAACACTGATCGTTTTATTGAACATCATGTTCAATAACTAATTCTGAATATGAGCGGACTTTTCCTTTAATACCAAACAGAAAAATGAAGTGACATATGTTGGCTTTGGAGATTGTGCTCTAAAATCCTAGATCATGAAACCCTGAAAATCTACTTAGCGAGCAAAGTTCACACTTCATGTACAACACTAAGCGTCACCATAGAAACCTTACTAATTGACATTATTATACTAAAAAGTCCTCATGTCACAAATTTAATACATTATTACTTCATAAAAAAGCAAAAATGCCATTTAATTGAAAAATACCACATTGATCCAAAAGGAAAATGTAGTAACTCACAGGTTGTTGTTTTTATTCAATAAGTTGTTGTATATGTACATTTTTTAAGACCAAGAGTCATGAAGTGAATATATCTGAGCATTCAGGCTAAAGGGTTCTTCTTTTACTGCCTGGTTTTCAGAGCAAAGGAAAAGAAGAGGTTAATTACAAAATTCTGACTAAAATTAAATAATAGAGTTTTTACATAATAATTAGCTAATTGCCATCTAAATGATGATTAGGTTAAGACATTATAATATTCCAGATAGAGGAAATATTAAGACACATAAGCTTAAAGTACATAGTAGCATCATTCTGGGTAGAATAAACAGATGACTTATAGATGATTTGTTGACTCCAGATCTGGTAGAACATAATGTAATAACGTAAAATCGAGGGGCCAATGTAAAAAAAATGGTGTTTCCCTTAAAGTAGTCAAAAGTAAAAATGTAATGTTTTGATATCAGTACATTTCTGTCTAATTTTCAGAGTAATTTTGCAGAGCCTGTATTGATGCAAAGAACTACCTGCTCTAGATTCTACACCACCTTCAGCATAAAAAGGCCACAAAAAAGAACTGATATTTTGATTCTTATTTTTTATAAAAACAAAACAAAAAACAAGCTAAATTCTCCTCATGCTTTCATTATCGAATAGATGTTTAAGGTTGAATCTATTACCACAAAGAAACCATAACGTTTGGTTATCTAACATAACCCCAGTTCTTAGAATAATATGAGCGAGGTGTCTCGCTATGGGATGCAGCCTCCTGCAGCCCTGATAGAAGCATCTATCTCAATCTGCCAATCCTGATTGGCCGGTGGAAGTGCCCGTCATACGCCACGCCCCGTAGCTCCGACTACTAAAGCGTGTGCGGATCACGGCACTCCAATTCAACAAGCAAACCTCTTCTCGCCGCCCTGCAAGAAGGGTCGTCTGGCGAGACACCTCGCTCATATTATTCTAAGAACTGGGGTTATGTTAGATAACCAAACGTTCTTTTTCATAATATTCACTCGGTGTCTCGCTATGGGATATGGTAGCTCCCGTATTGTCAGACAGCTTATCGAACAAGAACCGGCCGATGGGGAAGGTCCACAAGGTCAGTTATGACTCTAGGACCGCACTGGCCACGCACGGTCCAGACACGTCAAGCATGTAGAACCGGACAAAAGTCAGAGGCGAAGACCAATTCGCCGCTGAACAAATGTCCTGAACGGACACTCCCCGAAATAAAGCCCAGGACGCAGCCATCCCGCGGGTAGAGTGTGCACGCAGACCCGCCGGGGGCTGCAGACCCCTGCTTCCATACGCCAAAGCTATAGCCTCCACCACCCAGTGGGCGAGGCGTTGCTTTGTGATGGCTGCCCCTTACGGGGCTCCGCCCAGGAGACAAAGAGCTGATCACTCATCCTGAAGCTCTGCGTCCTGTCCATATAAGAGCGCACGGCTCGAACAGGGCACAGCGTGTGCGCTCGCCGTTCACCTGGGGGGGCGGCGAACGCCGCTAGCTCGATCGGTGAACAAGAACCAACCACTTTAGGAACAAAGGCCGGGTTGGGCTTCAGAACCATACGCGTGTATTCCGGGTCGAACCGGGTACATGCGGGGCTCACAGAGAGCGCATGAATGTCGCTGACTCGTTTCGCAGAGGCCAGGGCCAGTAACAGCACTGTCTTGAGAGACAGATGTTTAAGACTGGACCCCAACAACGGTTCAAATGGGGGTCCCTTAAGCCCCTCCAGAACCACCGACAAATCCCACGGAGGCAGCAAAGGTCTGGAGACGGGGAGGAGCCTGCGGGCGCCCTTCATAAACCGACAAACCAAAGGGTGTTGGCTCGCCGTTTTGTCTCCAAATCCTATATGGCATGCTGCTATAGCTGCCAGATAAACCTTAACCGTGGAAAAAGCTTTTCCTTTATCAATCAGTTCCTGTAAAAACGACAGAATCGCTGGTACAGAACACTGAAAAGGAACGTAGTCCCGTTCAAGACACCACCGCTCAAACAGTCCCCACTTGGAGCCATATAGGTTCCTAGTGGAGGGAGCCCTGGCGTTTTGGATAGTATTAATTACACTCTGAGGGAGCCCGGCAGTGGTTAAATTAAGCCACTCACGGGCCAGGCCCACAGCTGCAGTCGCTCCGGGTGTGGGTGGTACACTGTCCCCGCACCCTGCGAGAGCAGGTCCCTGCGCAGCGGCAGCTCCCAAGGCTGGGCGCACAGCATCTGGAATATCTCCGCCAGCCAGTGTTGCGCTGGCCAGTGCGGAGCTATTAGGATCAGTCTGTGGTTGAATGCCCTCACTCTGGCGAGAGTGGGGGGTATCAGGGCCAGCGGTGGAAACGCGTATAGCAGCTCGTGCGGCCAGGCGTGCGCTAATGCGTCTACGCCCAGAGGGGCATTCAGAGTGCTCAGAGAGAAGAACAGCTCGCATCGAGCGTTTTCCCTGGACGCGAACAGATCTATCTGAGCGCGCCCGTAGCGCGCCCATATCTGCTCCACGACCTGTGGGTGCAGCGTCCATTCCCCGTACACTGGCGCGCCTCTGGACAGCAGGTCCGCACCCGTGTTCAAGTCTCCCGGGACGTGCGTCGCTCTCAGGGAGAGAAAGTGGGTACTGCTCCAGAGAATCAGGTCGCGCGCCAGATTGTGCAACATGCGGGAGCGCAGGCCCTCTTGGCGGTTGATATACGCCACTGTTGTCGTGTTGTCCGTCCTCACCAGGACATGGTGACCCGAGAGGAATGGGAGGAAGTGTCTCAGAGAAAGAAACACCGCCGAAAGTTCGAGAAAGTTTATGTGAAGGCGCTGGAGGGCCTGGCTCCAGCGACCCCTCACAGACCTGCCCTCGTGAATGCCGCCCCAGCCTGATAGGCTGGCATCCGTGGTTACCACTTTCCTGGACGAGACGGTGCCCATAGGCACCCCTTGGGTCAGGAAGGACGGGGCTCGCCAACAGCGCAGAGCTGTTATACAGTCCGCTGTGACCGTTATCCGCCGTGCGCCATGACGCACGGGGTCCATTTGGAGCGAAGCGACCCAGCGCTGAAAGTCCCGCATGTGAAGGCGGCCGAGGCGAATCACGAGGATGGCTGAGGCCATCAGACCCAGCAACCGAAGGCACAGTCTGAACTGGACAGACCTGTGCAGACGGAATTGTGACAGGCACGTTCTGAAAACCGTCACTCTTTCCTCTGACAGGCGGGCTGTGAACGGAACAGAGCGCAGGGATAATCCCAGAAAGCATATCTCCTGCGTTGGAGATGGGTGGCTTTTTTCCATATTTATCACAAAACCTAAATCCATCAGGTGTTTTGTGACAATGTGTGTGTGAACCCTGGCTTCCTGTTCTGACTGCGCTAACAGGAGCCAGTCGTCTAAATACGTGGCCAGACGTATCCCCCGGCGTCTGAGTGGGGCTACCGCAGCCTCTGTGCACCGTATGAAAACCCTCGGACTGAGAGACAGACCGAATGGTAGAACACGGTATTCGTAACACACCCCTTGAAAGGCAAACCGGAGATATTGTCTGTGAGGGGGATAAATGGGAATGTGGAAATACGCGTCTTTCAGATCCACGGACGAAAACCAGTCGTTCGGTCTTACTAGACGCAACAGAGCTGCATGTGTCAGCATCCTGAACTTGTATTTCCGCAGGAATTTGTTCAGGGCTCTTAAGTCCAGAATAGGGCGGATTCCTCTCCCCCCCCGTTTGGGGACGAGGAAGTATCTGGAATAAAACCCTGACAGACTCTGTTCGGGAGATACGACAGAAACTGCTCGTTTGTCTATCAGAGAGAGAATTTCCTCCCGTAAAACTCGAGCTGATTCTCCCTGTGCATGTGAGTGTATTACACCGGAGAAGCGGGGAGGGACAGTGGCGAATTGAAGCCTGTATCCCCGGGAAATTGTGCGCAACACCCATGGTGGAGCTGCTGCTGCTCTCCAGCTTTCCCATCTGAGAGAGAGCGGGGGAACATATTGCGGCTCCTGCCCCGCGCCCCCCTGTGGTGGAACCGAGAAATGATTCTCGGGCACCACCGGAGGCACGGTGGAGCGCTCTGCTCTGCTCCGCGGGGACGGCGGTGCCCGTCCCGGGAGCAGAGCTGCAGGGGGCTGAGCGGCCACCCTGCTTATAGAGAGAGCATCGTCTGTTTTGGCTTTTTTTATTATCTGCACCCTCGGCTCGTGGCCTGGCTGTGACAGATTTATTTTTATTTTGACACCATTTTTTCTTTGAACAAGGGTGTGTGACTGTGCTTTTGGACATTCCGCTCGGGGCGCAACCGCGCAGACCTCCGGGGCGATGTCCTTCTCCTCGCAGACCGGCTCTGGGATGGGCAACGGTGGCGTGGGGTGCGCACAAACAAGCCAAAACGGTGGGCCTGCGCAACGGGGAACAGCAGGCTGCACCAACTGAGGAACTGGCGGCTGTCAGGCCGCCCTCTTTTTCTTCCTCGCCTGTGGGACCGAGCTCGCGGCGGCTGTGGGCGGCGGCGGCGTAGCGGTCGTGGAGGCAGGTTTCCCCTGCCAGCCGGCTCCGCGCTCCTTCCTCATCGGAGGGGGCGGACCTGGCGGTGGTGGCCGTCTTGGTACCTTAAAACGCGGCGGCTGGGAGGCTGCATGCGCAAAGGTTTTGCGTTGCACCGGAGGTGAAGGCGCAGGGGCTTTCCGAGGGAGACAAAGTTTGAGGGCCTCGTTGTCCTTTTTCTTTGCCTCACATCTTTGCTGCATTGTGGCCAATGCAGAGCCGAAGATGCCTTCAGGGACGATCGGCATATCCAGGATGTCATCCCGCTCCCTGTCGGTCAGGTTAGCGAGACTGAGCCATCGCGCTCGCTCCTGGACGACGAGGGTTGCCATCACCTTCCCTGTGGCCTGGACCGCGACACGTTGGATACGGAGAGACAGGTCCGCGATGACCGCCATCTCCTCCCACGCATCCGGGTCTTGCTCCTCAGCAGACGCGCCAAACAACTCCGCTTGGTAGGCAGTGAGGATGGAGAGGGCGCTGAGGGCTCTGGCCGAGAGGGCTGCTGCTTTGTATGCCTTTTCGGTCAGCGCAGACTAGAACCGTTCGGGCTTAGCTGGCAGCGTCGGGCGTCTGGGGGAAGCTGCAGACAGCTGGCTCACGCTGCCTGGGCAGAGGTGCGCAGCTACCGGGACTTCCACCGGAGGCATGGAGAGGAGGCCGTGTGCGTCCATCGCCTCGCAGTCGAGGGATGCTGCGCCCGAAATAGGGCTCCTGTTGCTGTATGGGCAGCTAGTCCATGTTTTGGAGAGCTCCGTCAGCAACTCGGGGAAGACAGGGAGAAGCTGCTTCACCGCATTTCGTGCCAGGGGAAGCCGTTTGCCTTCGTAGCGGGACCGGGTGGGCTCCGCTATTGCGACCGGCCAGGGAATCTCCAGCTTCTCTGCCGCGCGTTTGCACACGTCGAGCAGGTCCACATGGAGGGAGGGAGCTTGTGAGCTCGCTCCCCTGTCTTCCATGGCGGAAGGGCACGGCGGTTTAGGCCTCTCAGGCTGTGCTGGGGCCATGAAGGTGTCATCCTCTTCCTCGTCCTCTGATATGAGGAACGAGGTGTCGTCATCCTCCTCCATGGGACTGACTTCCAGCACGTCTTCCTCGGGAAACGGGGGGGCATGGAGCTGCTCGCACTGGGCACCCCAGTCGTAGTCAGTCTCCGGGGCTTCCCCAGCTGAGTCCACGTCCTCCTCCGCGGCTGCACCTTGTGCGGCGGTGGGGAGGAATGGATCACGGTCCGAGATGCTAACCTGGCGGGCTAGCCTGCGTCTGAGGCTCTTGACCGTGAACACTTTGCAGTGTCCACAGGAGCCGGGAATTTCTAGGGCCAACCTGGCGTGGTCGACTCCTAGACAGGTACCGCACACCGGGTGGGTGTCTTTCCCTGAAATTTTATTCCCGCAGCCACAAAGACGGTGGTCTCCCCTGGCGTGGGGGTTTTGGACGGCCGCCATTTCCCGACGAGCTGGAGTGCTGGTAGGGAAAGGAACCGTAGCTAGCTGGCGTGCTAGCGTGGCGGGGTCGAGGAAGTAGCTGGTGTGCTAAATGCTCGTCCGACTCGAGCGTCCGTGGAGAGGAGCCGAGAGGGATTCCGCCGTGAAGAGAGACAAAAGGTTACCGGTCCGGTCTGGAGTGAGCGGACAGGGCAGAAGCCAGAGCACAGTGCTAGCGTCCGGCGACGGAAACTAGCAAGGTCCGTCTGTGGGCAGTTAAGCTAGCGAAGGCTCCGACGTGAGATAAGCTCTCAGGTGAGAAGAGGTTTTGAATTGGAGTGCCGTGATCCGCACACGCTTTAGTAGTCGGAGCTACGGGGCGTGGCGTATGACGGGCACTTCCACCGGCCAATCAGGATTGGCAGATTGAGATAGATGCTTCTATCAGGGCTGCAGGAGGCTGCATCCCATAGCGAGACACCGAGTGAATATTATGAAAAAGAACTGATTTGAGAACTCATCCTGCTGAACAACTTGGCCACATGTAAACAACTAACACCTTAACAACATTATAAACTAAAAATAATATCTGCCCTGAGTTTCTCACATCTGTGGAACGTCATTAAATCTCTAAAACAGTCCTAAAGGCTGCTATGTTAAAATTGCATTTCAAGAAAGATAAACAGCAACAGCGGATTACAAAGCTACGCTGAACCAATGAAACATGGAACTAGCAGCTTCCTGGAAATGTAGTGGAGTGAAAGTTTAAAAAGCACCCCCCAAAAAAATTACTCAGGTAAAGATACTGTTGTCGAAAATTTTTGATTTCTCTTCTATTATATATTAATTTATCCCTTTTACTCACTATAAACGTTTTCACTCAATCTGTTTCACCTTGAAGGCCACACCATTCTCTGCAGGATGGTGTTTGTAGACCAGACATAGCTTCTTCCAATAACAAACCAGATTCTTTCTCAAGGTTTATTCATAACATGTTACGTTAACCAAAGTGCCTGTAATTTGTTTTGACTCTGACTACTTTCCATTGTTGTAAGTAAGGGGGAACAAACACTGCTCATGCAGAACAGGGCAGAATGCTGTGCAAATATATGAATAAATGTGTCGACTGAGTGAAATCCATCAATCTCCGTTTATTTAACTAAGATGAATAGTTGAATACTTTTTTTCCCACGACAATTTGGCGTTTTCAAAGCAGGATTCTCTTTGACTGATTTTTTCTGAGGACAGTGATTGTCAGGTGTCAGGTAACACCTGGAGGAAGCAGTCTTCCAGCCTCAATACCCCGTTAGAAGGTTAAGGGAGTGAGGACTTCTGACATCGAGGTCCCTGAAGGTCAGCAGGAGGATCAAAACAGACCATTTATTTTTGAGATGGTGAGATGAATCTTTTGTCGGCACAATTTAAATTAAATTTCAAAAACTAAATTACAAAACAACAGGTTGTTAACAGATTTGAAGATAATTAGAAATCAAATACGGGAAAATTAGTTTAAACAAAATCCTCTTCTTCTCCATAAAAATAATCAAATAAATAGATGTAATCTAGCAAAAAAAACTAACTAAATTGAATATTAATAGGTTAATCATTTAGTTCACTAAAATCAGTATAATACTAAAGAATATACATACAAAATAAAAGATAACTTTTCTTTTGGGGACATGAAAGGCAATTCTGTTTTTTTCCCACCTGTGAAGCAAAAGAACCTTGCATGGAACGTGAGGCTCTCTCTAAGACTGAGAGGAAGGTTGAGGTGCCACCAGAAGGCATTTAATTTTACTGAGACGTTGGTAATCTAGAGTGGGATCCCCCCCAGTTATCCAGGTCGGCACCAGAGGAATGGTGTGCATATTGGAAACCGATAGATTACCTGTAGACATGGGCGTTGGTTTGCATAGGGACCATAGGGACATGTCCCTACCAAAATTTTGGAAGGACCTATTTGTCCCTACCAATAATTGGATGTAAACAACATGTTTATAATTTACTATACAGCAGCCGCTTCTTTTCCTCTCGCAGCTTCTCTGCCTGGTAGCTGCAGCTGCCTGCTCTTTCCTGTCCCGTTCACATAGCAGCGCATCAACTGTGCTGCGCGGTTTAACTCTCTGATTATTCTGCCTTAAGTTCCGCCTTCTCTCTTTCTGATTGCGTGTTTTCTAGTCTGTTTGTACGCGCGCGCGGGTGCTTGGAGCGCGAAAAAAAAGACGCTAAAATAAATTAATATTGGGCTACGAAACTAGTCCAAATTAAAAAAAAAAATATTATCTACGCTAAAACAGGCGAAAGCTTCTGACTGGAGTTCTGTAAAGAAGCAGGAGAGAGTTTTTTGATTTGTGGAACTTGAGAAATGTAAGTTAGCAACGTTAGGGGTTCTTTTATTTTATCTTTTAATCAGATAGCCAAAGGCTCCTTAGAGAAGATCTTTTATGAAATGAAACCAGGTGAAACAGAAGCGTTTAAACGTTTCCTTTGGAGGAGTTCTGGATGGAGAATATTGTCAGACAAAAACCTTTTTTTTTTACTTCTTAAATGCTAATATTTTTTTACAATCTTGGTATAATTCCTGCTCTAAGTTGGTCGCTCTGTCGGCTAAAGGCACATTTTAGTGGCCGTATACTCCAGTTTACGATTAATCACTTACTAAATTAGTTCACGATTATTTAAATAATTTGTTAATATGATTGTTTCAGTCATAGATAAAATACATGATATTAGCTACACAGAGTAACTACAGCCCAGATGTACAACTTCTAATATTAATACTTTAAATGCTCAGTGTCAGTTCCTCCTATAGTTCCAGTGCTCATGTAAATACAATACATTTATTTGCTGTCCCTTGAATGTATTATTCCAGAGAGAGCATATTAGATTAAAACAAAATAAGAGTGGGTTTTACCTCTGCACAATTCTATATCTTCAGAAGAAAACACGGGATAAATCCACATATAGACTATATTTGGTTAAACAGACACTGTCTTAGTTGCAGGTAAATTCAAATGCAATCCTTTTCAAAGTGGAAAAAGTCCCAATTCCACATTCATCAGAGCAAGTTATGCTTTAAATATTGATAAACAGCATCTAGTGCATGTAGTGCTTATAAGATTTGTATTAATGTAGCAAGAAATGCTGCTGTTCTCTTTTAAAAAAATGAGCCCTGAAGCTCACATTAAGCATAAAAAAGAGCATGCATATTTTTTGCAAAGGACCAATGAACCTGAAGAATAGTGTCCCTAAAGTTGAAATCAAACCTACGCCCTTGCCTGTAGATAATGGGACAGATTTTAATTTCAATGGTGCTTTTAAAGAACGAAAACTCTAAACTTTTACAGGAAATGAATAACTCATAGCTAAAAAAAACAACTATAAAATTATTTTTTTTTAAAGAAAGTAAGTAGGGCATAAAATAGGGTGAAATTAAAAGTTTAAAACAGAGAAAAAACTTGTAAATGGAGGAATTAACCTTAAATTAAATTACAAAAAAGCTCAAATAAATTGAAAAAAGTATGTTGTGAAAAAAGGTAAAGTATGTTGAAGGACTGAAACCGCCTGGAGGCAGCAGTCAGTAAGGGGTGATCGACCATAGGTTTTCGAACAGAGCCAGCGAGTCAGAACGAGCCACCGGAAGTGCCACCGGACCTGTGACACAGCTGCCACCGCCGTTAATTAAGCGTGGCCCTGCAGGTAACTTACTGTTTCAAAGTTATTATTTTTATGTAAATGTAATGTGTTGCCAACGAAAAAGTGAAATATTATCTTTAATATCAAACATTTTGAGTGCATGGATTGTTGTTTTGAGTGTTAGTTTGGATTTTAAAAAGAAAAATGAACGGATCAAACCATTATGACAGTGAAGGGTTTTCCACGCTCTCCGTCGCGCTCTTTCTGTTGGATTCCATGGGTATGAAGTTTTGTTTCTGTGTTCAATAAGTGTATTTTAAGCATGATAAGTGACAGTTTGATTAGTGTTCTTATAAAATGATATGTTTAGGAACATTTGAACTTTGTTAAACAGCCACGCTACCTTCACGTGCTGAAAATAGTATTGTTCATAGTTAAACAGGTGCTGTGGAACACTGACAAGAAAAAGCCTGTTGATTACTATCTTCTATGTGAATGCAGGTATGTGATATTTCAATATTCTTGGTGTGGGATTATTGTGTTTATTTATTTTTTCTTATTCATGTACTATTTAAGAGTATTATGACCCTGTTTGGGCTTAGTTATTAATATTCGCTCCAATTATTTCTAGCTTGTAAGGTAGATGTGTTATTTTACACAAGTTGTGCTCTTTCTGTTGGATTCCATGGGAGAAGGCAATGTAGAACACTGTGACAAGAAAAAGCCTGTTGATTTATTTAATTCTATTCAGTTTATTACTATAGCGCCAATTTACAACACGTCATCTCAAGGCACTTTCCAGTTCACCAGATCATCCAGTCAGATTGATTCAAAGTTTTCTATCTAAGGAAAACCAGTTGATTGCATCGACTCATTGACTCTTCAGCAATCCCTCACACTAAGCATGCTTGTAGCGACAGTGGAGAGGAAAAACTCCCTTTTAACAGGAAGAAACCTCCAGCAGAACCAGGCTCAGTGTGAGCGGCCATCTGCTGAGGCCGACTGGGGTTCAAGGAGACAGAAGCAGAGATACAAAAAGCAACTGTAAAAGGCGGCCCCGTCCAGGAAACACACAGCCAGGCAGACAAGCTCTGAGGGTGTTGATGCATAGCTGATATTTCTCTCCAGGATGGAGTCACAGCCAAACAGGAACAGACCAGATGAAGCTACTATGAGAAAAAGCAGAGAGAGCAGAACGTTAGAGATTGAACTAACAGATTCTGCAGAGTGGGAGAATAGAGATAGAATGATGAAATGGGGGTCTCTATGTCCTCCAGCAGTCTAAGCCTATAGCAGCATAACTATAGAGATAGCTCAGGATAACCTGAGCCACTCTAACTATAAGCTTTATCAAAAAGGAAAGTTTTAAGCCTAGCCTTAAAAGT